TGACCACTTTCTTGCCATCCCTCGTCACAAGCTTAAACATATGCAAAAATTCAGAAAATAGAAAGAGAACTAACGTTTCCTGAGTTCGTACACGTGAATGTCTTTCAGATCCTCTGGTGTGACGTATAAAGGTCAGCAGTGTTCCCTTTCTCTTTGTGGGACCTTCTTTTCTCTTCCTCACTCTGACCGAGTACAGTCACACATTTGCCCCAGTTGAACTAGACACACGCGACGCAACACGCAAACGCAGTTTTCAGTTAACCTTTGTGAATGGAAAAAGTTTTTTTTTGCTTCTGTGTTCGTAGTAGTTTCGAGATTCCGTGAATAATTCTGTGATTCCGTGATTTCGTCAATATCATTGTTATTTTCACCCTAATCTTGAGTTAGTTAACAACTATTGATACGTTCTCTCTCTCTCCTAATCGAATATGTTTACAGGTAGTGTTCCTACTCAGTCATGCCCCGCCGCCACTTTGTTTCGGTAAGTCATACTTTAACTTTTCACTTCTTCTGTTAATTTTTTTGTCGAACATTTAATTTTAGGTAACAGGACGAGCGCTTTACGGGTATTTCCTGAATGTTAAATACAAAATCCTGGAGAAGTGAGAATTCAATTTTATTTTATATTCTAATTTAACTGATAGTTTAGATAATAAGTTTTCATTTTAACTTTTGTTAAAATTTAATTTATACGCTTTAGGCAGCGTCGAATGGATTTGGATACTCAGAAAGTGTTGGGCAGCACTCTCTACAATAAAATACGAGAGATCGAAGATGCACTTCGAAATCAAAGAGGTATGCAAAACCTTTAAACTTTTTACTCTCTGATATCAATACCAATGACAATGATCCTATTTGATTAATTTTTGAAACTTTACTTAGAGATATTAAAAGATTTTGTGTTTAGTTCGGATTCATCTCGATCCTTCATTTGCCTCTCCAGATGTGACAGAAGTATGTTCCTTTTTTTTTAATATTCCGAAGCAAAAGTGTATACTTAATCATCTAAAAACAGTATATTATATTTAGCGCTCGGTCTTCGAAGCACTCCTACTTCGACTGAAGAGGCAAATCGATGCGAGCTGTGTACTTGCCGATCTTTGCTCTCTAGGTATTTTTTAAAATATAAATTTTTAGAATCTTCTTATATTCAACTATTTCGATTACAGACATTTATTTTTTGTTTTGCAGGACCTGCCGCCAATGCCGAAGAAAGTGCTGCACTATCTACGGCGGAGAGTGTTCTCGATCTCCTTGACCAAGCGATCTCCCCGGTTTCATCTCTTGATGGATCTAATACGGAGTCTGACTTTGTTTAATTAGTGTATTTTGTCTAATTATTTTTTTTGTCTACGTGAATCCTGATAAGAAATGTGTGTTATGATAAAGTTTCTCATCACTTTTACATTCGTCAAACAAGAACTACATCACAATGGGTGAAATACCAACTTCCTCCAATTCCTTCATTCGGCAACGTGTCTCTCATAAAGATTCCCGGAAGTTCTTAATCTTTAATAATTCTACGCAGAGCAGAGAGACGACAACGCCTATTTGTTTCTTCAGGATGTTAGCAACAGAAAGT